AAAAAAATGAATGGAAGTCAATGGAAAGTCCCCGCAAGGATAGAGAGACATAGTGTGTGTGTTTGTATGTGTGTGTGTGTGTGTGTGTGTGTGTGCGTGTGTGTATGTGTGTGTTTTGACTAGTTTTATGCTTTTGCCTGTTTTATCCCCTCTGGGGCAACTAATAATATTACAGGAACAATAGTATTAGCGTTTATCATTTTAACCTTAAAATACAGTATTAATACCTTATATTGTCTTAGTAAAATATAACATACTTCCTTTTCATTCCATTAGGACCGGCTAGTAAAGCAAACTAAAACATATGGTCTTTCAACGAAATGAGTCATGCTCTATTGAAAATTCAAGTCAATAACTTTTTATTTTTTTTCTCTCCTTTCAATTTCTTTCACAGAGGACGCCGTGTTTGCCGAGCCGGGCCCAGGGGGTGGTTCGATGATGGCCGGAGCCGTTTACACTCTTCCTCCACAGAGGAACGTCCCGTTGCCCATGGCAATGCAGAGGCTGATTCCTATGGCAACCCAGGGAGGGAAACCGCGCAGCTTCACGCTGCCACGAGACAGCAACCTACACACGCTCCTCGTGCCGCCTGCGAAAGAAGAGCAGCAAACGCACAATGGTGAGTTCAGTCAGGTGTATACATGTCGTGTGATTAAACATACACTACATCAGAACAGAAATATTAAAGATAAGGCCTATTAAAAATAAAATAAACACACACACACGCGATATCATAGTATCCAGTGTTCTTTAGTTTTGTATCAAAATCAGTTCCTATCATTTAAATAGTTCTTGACAGGCTGAATGTTTGAAGTGTTTCAGCGAGCTCCTCTGTGGATTCAGGCATTTTCATTCCTCTGTCTTTTTATATGATCTCAGTTTTAAGAGAATATCTTTTAATCTTTACTGAAAAAAAATACACTACATAATAGTGCTCATTTGTAATTCTGTAGAGGTGAGGTTTTCAAAAATGAGTGGTACTTGATTTTTGTGTTAATTTATAAAGGACTTGTTCTTTATGAAAGCGAGTTCGTTAGATTTGAAAGACATTGGTTTCATAAGCTTGACTGATAGAATCTTACCATCTTTGCCCATTCATGGAGTTAATATGTTCTCACAAAAAAATTAATACCTCTGATGGCTTTTTTACTGATGTATTTGAGTTCAAAAGGTTATGAACATCACCTTAACTTTTAGACAGTTTTGTTTTAATTAGCTCAGTTTGGAAAAATAGTTGAATTCTGACTGGATTGACAAGCTAATGAGTAATCTGGACAGAGCCAAGAGACCAAAGTGGATTTCTTTTGTTACTTTACCAATTACTGATTAACATTTAATACTGCGTAGCTATTATTTTGTTTTATTTTATTTATTTTTTGGTGGCAGCCTCTTTTAAATCTTTAGCTACACAGTCAACATTGAAAAGTTTGTTTTTTTTTTGTCTTTTACTGTTTCCCAACTTTAATGAAATAATTTTCCTTTGAGGTTGGTTTTAATCCTCTTTTAGCAAAACATGCATCTTAGGTTGCATTTAAGCTAGTTAATTTATTCCTTAAAGACCTTGTCACACTGTAACATTTTAAACAACTTGTCGACTTCTGAAAAGTTTGTTATAACTAAATTACTCGTACAGGTTATAAATGTGTTCAACTTGTTAGCACATACACATCAACACATCAAACATAGGCTTCTGGTAGATTGTTTTTTATCTGTTTTCTGCTTAGATGTTGTAGGTGTTGAACAAAATTTTCACAAGTTGGCATTTGTTGTCTAAAATGTCAAAGTGTGACAGAGCCTTTAATTGTTATTGAAGGAACTAAAAAGAATAATTAGACTGCACACTGTTATTAAGACTAAATGAAAGAGCTGGACTAATAATACAATCTAATCCCTTTAAAGTTGCTCCACATCAATCCTGGGCTAGGATTTCTATCCAAATCCATCTGTAAGAACCTAGAAAGTCCAGCTAACAGCAGACTTAAGTCTGTTCGTTTTCTTCTGCTTATTTGGTGTTGGGTCGCGGGGGCAGCAGCCTGAGCAGAGAGATCCAGACTTCCCTCTCCCCAGTCACTTGGGCCAGCTCCTCTGGGGGAATCCCAAGGTGTTCCCAGGCCAGCTGAGAAACATAGTCCCTCCAGCGTGTCCTAGGTCTTCCTCTGGACCTCCTCCCAGTGGGACATGCCTGGAACACCTCACCAGGGAGGCGTCTAGGGGGCATCCTTACCAGATGCTCGAGCCACCTCAACTGGCTCCTCTCGATGTGGAGGAGCAGAGGATTTACTCTGAGTCCCTCCCGGACGACTGAGCTTCTCACCCTATCTCTAAGGGAGAGCCCAGACACCCTGCGGAGGAAACTCATTTTGGCCGGAAAATCGGCTCAGCTCTCGCTTCACCACGACAGACCGGTACAACGCCCGCATCACTGCAGACGCAGCACCAATCCACCTGTCGATCTCCTGCTCCATTCTTCCCTCATTTGTGAACAAGACCCCGAGATACTTAAACTCCTCCACTTGGGGCAGGACCTCCAAGAGGAGGTTCTTAAACTACTCTTTTGCAGAAAATGACATTCACAGGAAGATCTGATGTTTTTTTTTTWATTTTGCTCATGCTTCTATTCCCTACCAAGTTTGATAGATTTTGCACTAATATTCCTGATTACATCTATCGCCCTCAACTCTCATCTTTGTGGAGGATTGAATTAAACACACCTCATTGGATTCCGGATAAAGAGACAATTGAATCCACTCCTGTCTGCTTCTGGATGAGGCAGCTGGTCGCCCATTTTGACCCACTGTGAGACTTAGCCACTAGTTCTTGATTGCACAGAATTTTAAAATGCAACATTTGAACTAAATCCACTTTTACTCCAACAAATATGTATTTCAATGTCATTGGAGAAATGTGACCGTTCACTTTTTCCAATTTTTGTGGCAGCCTTTTCACATTCCGCTCATTTTACTGCACCAAACCTCCGAAAACAGACAGAGCAAAGAGAGACAGTGTCTCACAATGAGTGACAACCACATGAGACTGAAATAATTTTGGTAAGGTGAAGACGATGACGCAACTTGATGTGCCGGATTCAGAAAAAAACGCTCTCAGGCAGACACATATTCGTTTAAGTCATCATCAGTATCTATTAACGCACACTGCAGTCGTGCWCTGTTCTAATGAGGCTAATGAGACGTTGGTGCTCTGTTGCCGAGGTGAAGCCTGAGGCAGAAGAAAGTGACAGACTAAAATAGTAAATAAGGCAATTTTTTTTGTAATCAGGTGATGCGTGTAAGATCTGTCAGAGGATGGATTGAAAGATAAATTCTGGTGTAGAGAAGTAAATATAAAACTGTCGGTGTTGAAAATTTCTCTAAGGTTGTCATTCAGGAGAGATGGGTTTTTTTTATCATTAATTATCTTTTTTTTGACTAAGGGAGGTGGAACCGCTAATGTCTGCTGCTGTCCTCCAGTGGTGGATTTGAGATTTAACACCTGCTCAGCTTTAAATTTCAGAGTTGATTTGAATTTTTTTTAAAGAAACAGGAATATGAAATGACTTGCAGTTTCCCTCCAAATGTGTTAAAGGTGGGAGTGAAGGCGCGTCCCTCGGCGACCTGTTTCGAGCGTGCGAGCAGGGTGGAGTCTGTCCTTTAGGACGGGGTTCGGAGTCCAAAGGACAAACTGAGTTCCGGCAGTCATTTCTCCGACGAGCTGCTGACCCTCAGCTCAATGAGCGACTTCACCGCCTCCGCATACTGACCTCCACACTGAAGGTAYGTCCATGTGATCATTTAGATACAACTTGGAATGGTTAAGACCAATTTAGGGTTTCACTTGTTTGTGCACAGGGATGCATTCCGTCAATTGAACAGCTTCAAAATGAATTGTTGCATTACTCCAACATGTTCCAATCATAAAACTAACATTATTCATCATGAAGGAAAATTGCAGTTTTTTTTAACTGCAAGATAAAAAAAGTGAACTCATTTGTATGTTCTAATATTAATCATATAATGGAATGCAGACCCACAAAAACCCTTGCAGGACACACAAATTCATTAAGCATGAAATGGTTTAGCACATCTACATAGGTATACTTAGCACAAAAAGTAAGAAAATTTGGCGATAAATCTCATACCCTTAGAAAACCTGTTAATTTTTCTTTTAAATGGTGACACATTTGTAAGGAACATGCATTTGTGGAATGAGCAGTAGAGCTAAATATTTGAGTTGCGTGCATGAGAAAATTGCCAAGTGTCCTCCGCCATTGGTTTATTTTGCTGTTGCTATTGACTGGGCCTGTCACATGAATAAATTTTGTTGGACGAAAAATTGCAGAAATTATTTTTTGAATGGAGACCATATAACTATATGCCCTACTTTCTGTGCTAAGGTTACTTTCTTACAACAGTAACAGATTGTCACTGCGCCTCTGAACACAAGAAGCACATTTTTTTGACTACATTCATTAGAGCACAGCTTGATTTAGGACTTGATTCCCGGAACATTGTTAAAGTTAAGCAGTTGTTACAAACAAAGATACCTGATACACGTTTTTGAGGTTTATTTTTGTTGTATCTTGCATAGCATTTCAGGAAATTTAAGGTGTTAGATTATAGTTTTGTCTGAACTGGCAGGACATTTTAATGCATTATTTATCAAAATAAATCAATAGGAAAAGTGCACAAAGAGAAGCTTATGCTGTTTGTGAAATCAATATTGCAGGGCCATTCAACTAAATTGCTCCTGGGGCCACAGTTACTGCAGGTCAACAGCACAGGGGCTGAACATCCAGAAATTTAGGTCATTCTGTAAATAAACCAATTATTACAAAGATCTGTTACCTTTGAAATAGTTTATTTTGCTGCATTTAATCATTAATACAACATACAGAACCCTATGAAATAACAGTAGTGATAATAAAACAATATCAAAAACAAAAATAACACACTATTTAACAGATGAAAATAACACACTATTTTACACGTATTATTTTGATATCTCTGACTTGCCAAATTTTTAAACAAATTTTATTTTCACTTTCATAGTTTTATCTTCAACTGTTTGTAGTTTTAACTGTCTTGGATGTTCATAGAAATGGCTTTTACCAGCTTGTAGCCAAAATTCTGATGTTTTTGTAGAAACCACACATGTCTATGTTCAACTAAAATAACTTATGGGCGTTAAAGAGAAAACTGGGGGTTTGGGTTTAATAGATGAATAATCCAGTTGCGGACCGAACCTTGGTCACTCGCGGGCCACGCCAGTTGAATAGCCCTGCAATACTGGAATTTGCTAATTGTAAATTTAATGTTAGAATAATGATAATCTCAACTTAGTGTGCGCTGTGCACTAGCTGACAAATCAGAAAAACACACTGATGTGCTGTTTAAACAATCAGTAAAAACAAACATGTTTTTTATTTATTTACTGAGAGTTATATCTGCTGCACAAGATAAATCTAGATACCTCACAAGATTTTAGAAGTTGAAGCCGTAAGTCATGCCCCCTCCACACGAACAAATGGGGAAATTTGCCCTTGTTAAAATAAACAAATAAGAAATTACACCTCAGATCATTTTTAGGTGTTTATTCTTGTTTAGTTACACAGCACATACACCGCTATGTTCAAATGTATTTTTTTCTAATACGTTTAGCTTTCATGCTTTACTTTGAATGTCTAAAAAAAAAACAGGAAGAAAAATGTTTTCTGGTTTCTGATATGGCTTATGCGCACATAAACATTCTGGAAAATGTCTCACTTTATTACGTGTCTCACTGTGTCTTCTTGGTTTGCTTGACTCTCTGTTTGTCCAGCGACCATCTGTGGCTTCATGCTGTCTTAGCAACACTGACGCTCCTAGCCTGGGTGATTGTCAATAGTCGTTCTGCTCTGGCTGTTTGTGTGTCTCAGGAGTTTCTGTCTTTGTTGCTTCCTGACAAGTGCTGAAGGGACAGGAGTTTTGCTGTTTTTTTTTTCTGCAGATATGTTGTTAAATTCCCAGAGATCTGTGGCTTTGGTCATTTAGATGAATGAGCTTCAGTTTTTGTTCTTTGTCTGGTGTCTCTTAAAGAAATATACTTTGCTTTTTGGGAGCATTTGGGTGAAAATTTTGTACTGTGACTCCAAGCTGGCCTTGCTGGGTGCTACTTTCCCCACACTGCTTTCTACAAGAGATCAAATTGGTTGTTTGGGCAGCATCAACATATCTGCAGTGGTTGCTGTGGAAACAACAAAGGCATGATTTTTCCCCTCCTCTGTATCTTTTCACACATTACCATTGAATCAAAATGAAAGAATGCAGCCTAGATAAAAACTGGAAACAAAAGCAAAAATATTTATGTTGCGGCAGCTGATGACAGATTTGAATCTCTATTCTGGCACTCATATGTTCACTTGAACAAAATAATTATAT